AAAAATGACTGCTATATTTTTCAAAATGAAGGTGAAAAAGGTATTTACATATAATTAAAAATAGAACTTTTATCAGAAAAGATACACTAAAAAAAAATAATAATAATGAAGGCCAGCCACAAGCAGTGGCTCCTGCCTATAATCCCAGCACTTTCGGAATCTGAGGCAGGAAGATCGCATAAGCCAGGAGTTCAAGACCAGCCTGGACAACATAGTGAAACCCTTTCTCTACTAAAAATTTAAAAAGTTAGCCAAGTCTGGTGGTGCACACCTGTGGTCCTAGCTACTCAACAGGCTGAGGTGGGAGAATCTCTTGAGCCCAGGAGGTTGAGGCTGCAGTAAGCTGTGATCATGCTACTGTACTACAGCCTGGGTGACAGAGTGAGACCTTGTCCAAAAAAAAAAAAAAAAAAAAAAAAAAACAAAAGAATGAAAGAAAAGAAAGAAAGAGAAAAGAAATAGTAAAAAAAAAATTTACTCAGAAGGAAAGTGTCAGAAAAAAAACAATAAATCTGTAAGTCATTAAAAATACAGAAAATTTGAACATGACTAACCAACTTAACCTAATTGACAATACAGAACACTACATCTACTGACAGAATACACGTTCTTTTTAAATGCACATGGACAGTTTACCAAAGCACATCATATACTGGACCATAAATCAAGTTTCAAAAATTTTCAAAGAATTTAGAGTATGTTCTCTAATCACAGAAGAATTAAAAAGAAACCAATTATAAAAAAGGTAACTAGAAAACCCCTAAATGTTTGGAAATTAAACAATATACTTTGAAATAACCTATGAGTAAAAAAGAAATCAGAAGGAAAACTGGAAAAATTTTAACTGATTCATACTAAAAATATAATATATCAAAACTTGTAGCTAAAGCTGTATTTATAGAGAAATTTGTAACCTTAAACGCATACATTAGAAGATAAATAAAGCTTTGAAAAAGGTAATTTCACTGCCCTTAGGATCAAGTTAAAATTCCTACTATGGTTACAAAGTTCTGCATGGTCTGGCTCATGCTCACTTCTTGGAGCTTCCTCTTTTTCTCTCTTCTCATTCATTACTCTCCAGACATACTGGCCTTTTTTCAATTCCTTCAATAAGTTAAATTGCTTCTTGTCTCAGGGCCTTTGCACATACTAATCCTTCTGTTTAAAATGCTTTTTCCCACCATGTGACATGTTCTTTCTAATTTAGACTCTTTTTTTCATGGCACTCATTGCTATAATCAGTTAATTGGGTAACTGCTTGTTGTGCAATTAATTTTAAAACATTGTTTGTCATTCTCCAAATGTTATAAGCTCCTTGCTGGCAGGGACTGCAGCTGTCCTGTTCATCACTGTGTCCCCAGGGCCTAGCATGGTGTCTGGCAAACAGCAGGCACTTTATACATGTGTATTAAATGAATGAATGAATACATGGACCTCTAGTTTACCATCTAAGCAAACAGTTTACTCAAAGTTGTTAAAAGATACTCCATGGTCTTGGAAGAAACCTCCTCAATATTACTGCTATCAGCAGTTGGCATTTATTTCTATGACATTTATGATGTAATTTACAATATTTGTTAATCCAAGAAATATCTCAAAGATTTCTCTTGGTGTTTAAGTTAAATAATTCCTAACTGTATACTGCTTCCTGTTTATATATTTGGGAAAAGGAAAAGTGTTTTTATAAACTCAATTTATATATCAAATCCGTTCTACTGTATACCAAGCTAGGTGCTATAAAATAGTGACCAAAATGACCGCCATTATTAACAGTATCTTAGCCCATTCAGGCTGCTATAATAGAGTACTATAGAGACTAGGCAGCTTATAAACAGTAGACGTTTATTCCTCACAGTTCTGGAAGCTGAGAGGTCTAAGATCAAGGCACTGGCAGATCTGATGTCTGGTGAGGGCCCACTTTCTGGTTCATAGATGGTGTCTTCTCTCTGTGACCTCAGCATGGTAGAAAAGGAAAGGGAGCTTTCTGGAGTCCCTTTTATAAGGGCACGAATCCCACTCACGAAGCCTCCACTCTCCTGATCTAAGCACCTTGCAGAGGCCCCACCTCCTAATATCATCACATTGGGAGTGAGGTTTCAACCTTTGAGTTCTGGATAGACAAAACATTTAGTCCATAGCAAACAGTCACACTAATATCAACAACAGTTGTTGACATCCTAGGTCAACTTTCTATGTGGAATCTTGCTTAATTATCACTTAAAGATTTAAGAGTGTGTCCTGTTTGTTTTGTAGGTGAGGAAATGGGGGCCTGTAGAAGTGAAGTGACTTGCTAAGGGGCGGGGCTGAGGTCTGAGCCCTGGTCAGAGTCCAAAACCCAGGCAGGCTCTGAGACTTCCACCCTGCTGCCATCTTACGTCCAGGTAGGGCCTGCAAGGGACAGCAACGATGCAAAGACAAACAAAGGAAGAGCAACTCCAGCCCTGCCACAGAACTAGCTGTGACCATGGACAAAAGGAGTTATTTGACCTCTCCAGACTCTTCACTTGTATGTGAAACTAACAAGAGTAAATATAGAATGGAGTTGAAATGCCTTGCAGAGTACTTACTGCTTGTAAATAGTGGTAATTATTATCAAGGGATGCTGTAAACAAACACACAAAAAACCCTTATGCTTCACTCAGATTAAAAATACATTCACATCCATCCTACCTTGCCTTCGGGGGATATGAGGATGAGAAAGGCTATGACAATAAAGCCAAATTCACAAAGGGGCTGCCCAATGATGGTGGGCCACTTGGCAGGTGACAAGCATTATGGTTATCAACAGAAAGCTGCCTAGCTTCTCCCCCAGTGCATCTTCTCCTTGGTAGGTGGGTCCTGGCTCCAGGTAAAAAGGGAGGGGCTGTTGGCCCTGAAAGAAGCTGCCTGGGTAAGAGAAGGGGCAGCAGCTGTGGCCTGGCCCACCTCCAGGGATCACATCCATGCTGTAGCTGTCACTCATCAGCCTCTTTGATGTGGCTGCCACCACAGCTCTCCTTCTCAATGTTCTGTGGTTCCAGGTATTTCTCAGCCCCAGATGAACAGGACGTACCAGGGGGAACCCTTCAGAAACAGGTCGAGCCATCAGTGGGGGCAGGCTGTCTGTGTGTGGGGTGGCTCACACCCTGCAGGGCAGTGCAGCACCCTCCAACTCCTGGATGCAGGCAGCCTTGGTGCTCACTCACTCAGGCTCTGTGTGGTCCCAGCATCAGCAGGGCTGTGCTTCTATCTCAACACCTGTCCTTGTCTCTGTCTGCCAATCGGAAGATTCTCTTCCTCCCAGGCTCCTAGTATTGCTACAGGACTTGAAATTTCAGGATAATTGGTCTTCTTTTTTTTTTTTTTTTTTTTTTTTTTTGAGATGGTGTCTCGCTCTGTTGACCAGGCTGGAATGTAGTGGCACAATCTCAGCTCACGCAACCTCCACCTCCCAGGTTCAAGTGATTCTTCCACCTCAGCCTCCCAAGCAGCTGGGATTACAGGCATGTGCCACAACATCCGGCTAATTTTTGTATTTTTAGGAGAGATGGGGTTTCACCATGTTGGCCAGGCTGTTCTCGAACTCTTGACCTCAGGTGATCTATCCACCTCGGCCTCCCAAAGTGCTGGGATTACAGGTGTGAGCCACCACATCTACATCTAGCAAAATTTCAAGATAATTATTTTCGCTTCCCCAAACTCATTCTTAAATGGCTCTGCCACAATATATAGTATCCCCATGAGCTTTAGGTGTTTAGTGTTCAAGAAGAAAACCCATACGCTAAGCCTGGGCAACACGGTGAAACCCCATCTCTACAAAAAATACAAAAATTAGCTGGGCGTGGCACACACCTGTGGTCTCAGCTACTCGGGAGGCTGAGGTAGGAGGATCACCTGAGCCCAGGAGGTCAAGGCTGCATTGCACCATGATTTGCGCCACTACACTCCAGCCTGGCCCACACAGTGAGACCCTGTCTCAAAAAAAGATCCCCAAACCAGCCTACATTGTTGCCTGTCCTATTCTGTGCCTTTGGATCTATACTGACTGTTCGTCTGTCCCCGCTGTCCTTCTAGCTCCTCACAGTTCTCTGCACAGCTGTTTTTACAAGTATTATGCAAACCTGTGTCTGACACTTCTTTCTCATGAGGCCAGACCCACTGCTCACAATTCTGTGCCCTGAGGGCTGCCAGGTGAATTGCCCCAATTCACTCTTGGGAGGGAGCGGCCTTCCCAGGGAGTGGATGGAGTTCGTGGTAGCCCCTTGGCTAATTTATGAAGGTCTCTCAGGTCCATAGAGACCAACTTCACACAAAGAACCCATAAGACCCAATTCCTTCCAGCAAGGATCACTTTCTGACCTTCCAGGGAACTGTACTATTGACTGAGTAGAGCCACATTGGTACTGGGCACACGGTGAGCACCTCCCTGCTCCTGAGTCCTCAATGGACAGTACAGGAGCACCACAGACAGGGGACAGAATGCTGGCACTTAGGACTGTGTGATCTGAGCAAGCCAGCAGCTCTCTGGGCCTCAGTTCCTCTGGGCATGAAGTGTGGGCCACCCCGAGCAGGAGTGTGCACAGGGTGCACTGCATGTACCAGGCACAGGAAGCACTGAGAGGGGACACCTTCCCCTGAAAACCCCTCCACAGTCAGAGGGGAGAGAAGCCAGCAGAATTCCTGCCCCAACTCCTTCTGGGGCCTGACGGCCAGTTCCTCAGCTAGCCACACAAGGAAAGGAGCCCCTGCTCACCAGACTCTGGGCCCTGAAAATAACTCTGCAAGTCTACCCAGCCCCAATCCAATTTGCCAAGGAGCTAGATAAGAACTGAGTGCTAATTTGGCCAATTACAGATAACCAATGGCTACCTCAGATCCAGGTGAGAGAGCTGAGGAACAGATGGTCGTGTGTATTATTAGGGAAACTTGAAATTAGGCAGGTGGTGGCAGGTTTCGAGCCACATGTGGGAATTTTTACAAATGTGGGCCAAGTTTACAAAGAATAATAAACATATTCTTACTTTATTGTGCTCTCCATCTTCGAAGCTGCCTCATGGAATTGCTGTGAAGACAGTTTATACATCTCAGCATTCTACAAGGAGAAAAACAGAACTGGTTACCAAAGACTGAAATTTCCCTCTGCTCCCTCATAGGATGCAACCACATTAGAAATTGACAGATGCTAATTTCTTGACCGGCATCAAAGCCGACTGGTGATTAATCCACAGCTTGGGTTCCAGCTCCACCACACATGGCTGCTGCTACAGAATCCTAGAGTAGCAATGGCTGCAAGTGCGTTATGAGATCCTGTAGCTCAGGGGTTAGCAAACCACGATTTACAAGCAAAATCCGGCCTGCCACCTGTTTTTGTGAATAAGGTTTTACGGGCACACAGCCACGCTCATTTGTTCACGTATTGTCTGTGGCTGCTTCAGTGCTACAGCTATGATAGAGACTACATGGCCTACAAAGCTTAAAATACTTACTATCTTTAAAGAAAAAAATTGCTCAGTCTTGATCTGGTCCAACCCCTATTTTACAGGTAGACTTTCCTTCCCAGAGGGGTGAAATGACTTGTCCAAAGTCACAGAGCAATGGGGCAGTGTCAGGACTACAACCCAGGTGTCTGGATTCCCAGTCTGGGACACACTCTGCTGCCTACCCTGACCACCCTACTCATTGGAACAGCAACCATCTGTCTAGATTGTTGAGGGGAGCATCCACAGGCACACACTTAATTTGTCCTGAGATCACCCAGTACGTGTGCACCTACAGACCCAGGTTTGTGGAGGGAAGGCCCAGGCCTGGGGGCAAAACACAGCTGGGTCTAAGTCCTGGTGCCACCACCATGTGACTGTGGGTAGGTTATGGAACTTTGCTGTGCCTCAGAGGTGAGCTGCTCCAGGCCACAAAGGTCCAGGCCCACATCTTCCTTTCTTTGTGAAGCTCCAGCACCTTCTGAGGGGAGACGGACATTAACACATATGCTAGCAGCCTCCTGCCGTGCTCCAGGTGGGAGTGTGGTGAAGCCCACACATGGACGTGTAGGCAGCAGGGAGAAGGCCAGCCTTGGGCTGACTCATGAGGAAGCAGTTTCAGAAATGAAACAACCTGAGGTGGGGCAGGGCCCGTGGTCAGACCTCCCCAGTGCGGGTGAGGAAGGCGCAGCAGATGTCACGTGGAGTTGGCTTGAGGTCAGATCTTTTGCAGACACAACCACATCTACTCCTCAAAGTCTCACATGGGCACTTTGGGAGGCTGAAGTGGGTGGATCACCTGAGGTCAGGAGTTCAAGACCAGCCTGGACAACATGGCAAAACCTCATCTCTACTAAAAATAAAAAATTAGCTGGGTGTGGTGGCAGGCGCCTGTAATCCCAGCTACTTGGGAGGTTGAGGCATGAGAATCGCTTGAACCTGAGAGGTGGAGGTTACAGTGAGCCGAGACTGCCACTGCACTTCAGCCTGGGCAACAAGAGTGAAACTCCAAAAAAAAAAAAAAAAAGCTCATACGGGCAGCATGATTATCCCTGTTCTACATATGAGCAAATGGGAGCTTCAGGCCTCAGGTACCTACTGCAGGCACAGATTAGTCAGTCCCTGAAACACACTTGTGTGGCAGTGAAGGAACTTTAGAGCTGCATTGCCTTGCACATTTGTAGGGCTTCAGCTAGGCTCTCTCTGCCCACTAGGCACACAGCTAGCCTGGCTGAAGCTGGGCAGACAGGAAGTGAGAGGTGCGCAGGGGCAGAGTCACTCAAGGAAAGCACTTCCTGTGCACCATGGACTCCCTCAGCCTTCTGCAGGGAAGGTAACTGAGGCAGGGATGGACCCCCACCTCTAAGGCCATAGGGCATGGAAGGCAGGTCCAGATGGAAACCAGGCCCCCCTTTAGTCTTACCCCAAGGACTCCCCTGCTGCATTGTGGCCTCAGAGAAATGTTGACTGGGAGGAAAATGTGGAAGGTGAGCCCCTGGGGAAGAGCACTTGGCTCACGGGATGAGGAAGAAACACCAGGTGCTGGCATTCTGACCTGGGCTGGGCTGGGGGAGTCAGGGAGGCCTGGGGGCCACTTCTGGGCCTTTAACCCTCCACTGCTTGGTGAGCTTAGGCAAGTCACCTTGTTGCTCCTCACTTCTGAGCCAAGGAGATAATGGATGCCTCCTTCTATGGCTACCAGGAATGCCAGCTGGGAAATGCCAACCCTCCCGGCACACAGCAGGCACAAAGTCAATACAGGTTCTCCTCCCACCACAGCCAGCTGCTGCCAAAATGCCCAGCAAGGGGGCTCCAGTGTTCTCTCTAGAGCCCTCACATTCAAACGAGAGATTGTGTCTTTGCCTTGACCAGTCTAGTATTCACCAGCACTGCCTGTCCTGGGTGAGGCGATAGGGACAGAGACATAACAACTTCGGGCCTCCCTCCCACTCCATGCAAATGCCCTTCCACCACAGCCTGGGTGGGGATCGCTTAGCTCTGTCTGAAGTCCCCCTTCATGAGACCTCATCAGGAGACGGCATGGACCACAGACCCACATTTTGATTTGTGCTTTGGCATATGCTGGTGGTGTTCTTTGGGTAAGTCACTTCTCTTAACAGCAACACAGGGTATTACCCAGCCTGCAGTTAGCGGAGAGACAGTTTGGCACACAGCACCCACCTCAGCCCACCACAGCCACTGAATTTTCCAGAGCTAAAATATGCCTCATCCTAAGCCCCGCCCCCCACAATTCATCCTGGCCTACTTCCTTTCCCACAAAACAACCTCATGGCTCAGGCCTTCTCTTTGAGTCAAACCCCTCTTCCTATGGCTGTGCCCACAGGACTCCTGAGTGTCAGGTCACCGTCCTGCAGGCCCAGGCACCTGTTGCCGACCTTCTCAGAGAGCGAATCCTTGGCCCAGATGGGCTCGGCCCGCTGTGGGCTTCAGGAGACACTCAGAGACTATGCTCAAGATGCCATACTGCCAGAAATAGCCTGGCTCTGGTGAATTTGGATAGCGCTTGGGTTTGACTGCAAGCTCAGTTTGAACATGTGGTCAACTTGATTTGTCACAGGAAGTACCCACAGGCCAAGAAGTGGCGGTGATTACCCTGCTGCAGCTTCCTCTATTGTTCCTCAGAATGACTCAGAGAAATTCCCCATCCTGTCCTGTCCTGACCTGCCTACCCTCCTCATCTAATCTGCCTGAGCAGACCTACAGGGACGGATGTCCTTACAACCGCAGCTCCCTTGGCACTCGAAGGTCTCCGGTTCACAACTTGGGAGTACCGAGCCGGCTTCCTGTGTTCACAAAGCTGCTCATCCATCAGGCCTTTCCAAGGCTGCTGGAATGGACCCAGACTCCCTCTTCTGGGGAGGCAGGGCACTCTGTGGACTCCTCAACCAATCACCAGGTCAGGGCATCCAGAAGGACTGGACACTACCAACGTGCATACTGAGAACACGCCAAGTGCCAGAGAGTTCTGAGACAAGTGTGGCTTGCTCCCTGGCCTCGTGGAGCTCTGAGATGATGGCATCATAATTACAATGGGGCACTCAGCCAGTCATCCCAGGTGCTGTGGGGCACCTGAAAGGACAGCCTGGCAGAAACCATGGGTCAGACTGACTTCCTGGGAGCCAATACCTAACTGAGGCTTAATCTTTTTTATTTACACTAAAGAATGTTTTTGAAAAGTACTTACACATGGTTTTAAAAAACAAAAGTGGAAAGCATGGAGGGTATGCAGTGAACAGTGAGCCTCTTGGCCAATCTGGACTCAGCCCTCGGTGTGTGTGAGCACACATGTGCCCCACTTGTTCCTGACACTCACTGGACTGCAGCAGACACGATGTGCCACACCTCATCTTTCCACTGATCCTCAGAGACCTCACCCACTCTGGCTGACCAGCACTTAGTAGTAGGAATGAATACTTTGTAGTATCATCCCTTGAGTATCAGTCAAGCAGCTACCCATCCTTGTACAGAGGTCGTTTCTAGTCTTCTACTATTATAAACAAAGCTAAGAGGAACATCTTGGCAACTAGAACTTGGTGCCTAAGTATATCCGTAGCGAACACTGTAGAAGTCAAATTCTTGGGTCAAAGGGTATATCCATTTTAATGAATTTTAAAGGATGGGCAGAAATGAGCCAAATGAGAGGGAGGTCTCCTGAACACAGGCAGTAGTGTGAGGAGCCTGGGGCTGCCACAGGGCTGTGTTTGGGGCAAGAGACGCCACTGCTGCTGCAGAGGCACAGGGCAATGGCCAGAAGGGGACGTGGAGGACACCAGCTGCAGGCTCAAAAGCTTGGATTGCACCTCATGGGCAATGAGGGTGAAGAAGGCTTTCCTTTTTCAGTGATGGAGGGGCAGGGAAGATTTTTTTTTTTTTTTCCCTGAGGCAGGGCCTCACTCCTGGCTGGAGTGCCGTGGTTGATCATAGCCCACTGTAACCTCGACCTCTGGGCTCAAGCTCTCTCTCCACCTCAGAGCCACCCCAGTAGCTGGGACCACAGGCATGCACCATCCTGCCCAGCTAATTTTTGTATTTTTTATAGAGAGGGGGTTTCACCATGTTGGCCAGGCTGGTCTCAAACTCCTGGGCTCAAGTGATCTGCCTGCCTTGGCCTCCCAAAGTGCTGGGATTATAGGTGTGACCTACTGTGCCCAGCTGATTTGTGTTTTTAAAAGAACATTCTGGCAGCTGTGTGGACGATGGCGTCCAGTTCTCCCTGCCTAGGCCATCAGTTCTAGAGAGCTCCTGGAACCCTGCAGCACTGTGCCTGGGAAGGCAGCATGACTGTGCCTGTAAAGGAGCCCTGCTGCCCACTGAGAGACACTGGGAAACTTCTCTGAAGTGCACTCTACCGAATTCTCACACATTAACTAGCACCCAGTGACCAGGGACTATTATTTCTGGGTGATTTTCTTTCCCGTCGGACTCTTTCGTTTCCCAAATTTGCAGTCTTTTCCTCTGCCCTGTAAACAGCTGCCCCTCCTCCTCCTCCAGCTGCCCCACATGCACATCTGAAAGCAGGAGGCCTGGCCTCCATTAATTAAATCTGCCATTAAAAATTAAATAACGTGAGTAAGAAGGTGTGAGTGTTATCTCC